GTGGAGGAAGCTACGAGGAAGTTGACGTTAAAGATGGAGAGACGCTGAATTCTTTGAGAGCGTCTTTGGCGGCTCCTTTGATCTGGCAAGTGTACACTGCCTGCGTCCCGGTCTGATTTCAGAAAGGAGGTTAGAATGGGATCAGAGAGAAATTATTTGAAAAAAAAAAAAAAGGCTGACGATCTGGTAACAAGAATATAAACACAAGTGAAAGGCGTCGGGACGCTCTGGAGCCTGATAACGATGCAACCCCTTTTCTTTATCTATGTACCCATCCACTTTTTTTTTATCCGACCGTATACTATACTTATACATATACGTCTTCTTCCCTTTGGATGCTCCCAACAAATTGAGGCTGGATTGCAAGAGAAAGGCAAAATTTCACGTACCCGGCTTTGAACTACTAGACGTTTCAAAGCATCTACCCTCTTCTACTCCGTCGACTTCGTCAGAGTGTGCATTAGGGTAACGGTTTTTTTTTTTTTTTTTTTTTCCCCCCTTCAAAAACATAACTCACTCCGTATACCGAACAGAGGACGTCAGATAGCGCCTGATGAATTTACCTAACACTTTTGAGGTTGACCGAAAAGGATGAAATTTCGAAAAATAAAAAATAAAAAAACTATCCATTACCGAAAGTGTACAAAGATCCCCTAACTGTGAAATAATGTAATAAAGAAGAAATTTTTGGAAATCAAGAGTTACGTGCGCGGACCGATAGTAATGCACCAGTGAAATCCTTATCTGGTACAAGGGATGAAATTGGGGCAGTTCAGCCCAACAAGGGGAGGCTTCTCCGCTCTGTCGTCGTAATTCACGAGCGGAACTCGTCAAGTTGCGGGAAAATCTAATACGAAATCCATGTAGAGCAGCGCGCGTTCAGGCAGACCCGCCAGTTAAGGGATGAAAGTGGAGCCGAAGGGGTTGGCAGGGGCTACCGAGAGTCTCAGTTGGCTGGGTAAAGGATCGAGGACGAGAGAGACGGAGAAGAGAAGATCGAGAACGTGGGACGGAAGATGCTGGAGCG